ATTGTTCCAGCTCCCCAAACTGGATGTGACTGGCACCGGTGTCTGTATGAGTGAATACAAAAGCTGAAGTCCACATTGTGTTTACTTTGGTTTTATTCCAAAAAGATTCTATTCCAGACATATGTAAGATGAAACTTATTCTGGGCAGAGATCATGATCATATCCCCTAGCATAGTATCTGACCCATAATAGTTGCTCAAGAAATATGTGTTGAATAAATAAAGGCCACAAAGGTTACTTTGGGTTGCTAAAATCAGAACAGTATTTGCCATTATTTTGGAGGTTGGCGTGGGATTTGTACACCCTGGAACAGTTTCTTCTCTTTGCAGCTAGTAATATTTTTCTGTTTATGAAGAACACACATTCTTACACACTGGCACAATGGTCCCAGGCAAAGTGGCACAGGCAGATTTCCACTGCATTCCTCAGAAGATCCAGCAATACAACTCTCTGATGGTGAGTTGCTTCTCTTTTATCAGAAGATTTAATTTGATGGGTTTTTAGTCATTTCTTCCACCCAGGAGAGGAGGGTACCTCATGAAACAGAAAATTAATTAGCTGAATTTCATTGAAATTTGATCAGATTTTGCTGTGTTGTGAGAGTTACAATCTCATCTCCCTATGCAGTAGTTCTTCCCCTGTACATAAAACTGCATATATTTTCCCATCCTTATCTATAGTCATGTCTTATTCTATAAGTGGGCAGTGTAAACATGCTTCTAATTAGGGAAGACGTGTGCTTGTATTTGCTGTAACTCACAAGGTTTATAAGATCTTAAAAGCAGCACCAAGTGTTTGGTGGGGGTGGGGGTGTGTGGTGGTGGTTCTTGGTGGTTTTTGGTTTTCATTTGAAAACAAATAGACAAGTGGCTGGGCGCTTTGGCTCACATCTGTCATCCTAGCACTCTGGGAGGATCGTTTGAGCTCAGGAGTTCGAGACCAGCCTGAGTAAGAGCAAGACCCCGTCTCTACTAAAAAAAAAAAAAAAATAGAAAGAAATTAGCTGGATAACTAAAAATATTTAGAAAAAATTAGCTGGGCATGGTGGCACATGCCTGTAGTCCCAGCTACTTGGGAGGCTGAGGCACTAGGATTGCTTGAGCCCAGGAGTTTGAGGTTGCTGTGAGCTAGGCTGATGCCACAGCACTCTAGCCCGGGCAACAGAGCCAGATTCTCTCAAAAAAAAAAAAAAAAGAAAAAAGAAAAAACAAATAGACAAGTATTTGGCAACCTCTGCCAAGAAAGGTTTACACACAGGACCTCATTCCTATGAATAAAAATGCAGACATGGAAGCAAGACATTTCCAGATACTTCTTTAGGCCTTTGAAAGCAGTATAGAAGAAGGGAGTGAAACAATTACTGTGTATGGCTTACAGAGCAGTTTTATGCATAACAATTCAGTTAAATTTTAGTTTTCCCATTTTACTAATGGGACTCTAAGGTACAGTTAGGTTAAGTAATTTGACCAGAGTCACAAGGGTAATAAATAAGAAGGCTGGAACTCAAATGCAGGTTTTCTTATTCCAAGTTCAAAATCAATAAACACTAAATGTTTGTTGTATCTATTTTACATTTTAAGTGGTAGAATTGGTGGATATAGAATATATATATATATATATTTTTTTTTTTGAGTCTTGCTCTATTGCCCTGGCTAGAGTGCCATGGTGTCTGTGTAGCTTACAGCAACCTCAAACTCCTGGGCTCAAGTGATCCTCCTGCCTCAGCCTTCTGAGGAGCTGGGACTACAGGCCCGTGCCACCAAGCCCAGCTAATTTTTTTCTATTTTTAGTACACAGGGGGTCTCACTCTGGCTCAGGCTGGTCTCGAACTCCTTATCTCAAGCGGTCCCCTTGCCTCAGCCTCCCAAGAGTGTTAGGATTACAGGCGTGAGCCACAGCACCCGGCCAGGATACAGTACATCTTTTTGGCTCTTGCTGGCTACTATGGCTCCAGTTTCTTATTAACATTGTATTTAAAAAGATAATGGCAGTTTTGAAGAAAAGAAAGAAAGAAAAAAAAGAAAAAGAAAGGAAAAAGGAAAGGAGAAAGGAAAGAGAAGGGAAAGGAGAAAAGAAGGAAAGGAAAAGGAAAGGAGAAAGAGAAAGGAGAAAGGGAAAGGGAAAGAAAATTCATATCCTATTACTCAAATAGTCTTGGTCAGGAAGGAGATCACTAAGGGTAAGGAGGACACTTGATTAATGAAAGTGTCCTTACTTGAGCCCACATAAGGTGGGCTCAACATACAGCTACATCTGGAAGAGCTGAATTCAATCAAACTCACCTAAAGGAAGGAATCAGCCATTGTGTTCTCTGTGAATAACGAGGACTTTATTAGTCATCTGTAAAGACACAGTTACTTCCTGACTTCAAGTCTGATCCCAGTCACACTAGTAACCTAGGGGAGGCAGATATGCTGAGGTCCTCTCTAGCGTCTAGGACATGGTCTAGGTTGCAGCAAATACATATGCCTTCTAAAGAAACATGACTCATAACCTTACTTTTGAGAGTATAAAGTCTTTGTTCAGATGAGTTGGATATTTCCTGTGTTAAAAGTCATCTTGCAAAGAAACAACTAACAAACTGACCACAAACAATAAGTTTCCTGGCATGGACTCACCTCTGGAGGGACATGAGTGTAAAATGGGAATTTTATTTGTTCTAAGATGTTCTTTGTTGTTGGGGGCTTTCCTGTGCCATGTAGGATACGTTTACTACCATCCTTGACCTCTATCCACTAGCCAATAGCACCTCTCCAGTTTTGACAAGCAAAAACTTTTCCAGACATTGCCCCCAAAATCATCCAGTTGAGAACTATCATTTTAACTGAAGCACCAAGATATTATCAAAAAACATTAGCCGGGCATGGTGGTGCATGCCTGTAGTCCCAGCGACTCGGGAGGCTGAGGCAGGAGGATCGCTTGAGCCCAGGAGTTTGAGGTTGTTGCTGTGAGCTAGGCTGATGCCACGGCACTCTAGCCCAGGCAACAGAGTGAGACTCTGTCTCAAAAAACAAACAAAAAACAAAAAACCTGAACAACCCCATTCCCTCTCAAAAAAACTCACTCAAATGAGTTCTGAGATGGACTCCCTCTAGAAATTTCAGAGGATTTAGAAAAAAGCAGGTAGATAACTTTAAATACTCGTAGTTATTTAGTTTTAAAAGATCAAGTGAGAATTATCGAGGATTTCTTTGGAGACTGCTGCCGGTGTGCTGTGATTCTTACTGCAGGTGCCTGCCTGCCTTTTACCTCCAGCCATGTGAAAAGGGCCTTCAGTGGAACTGCTCAGGGTGCTCGAGATGTGTCTCTCGCAGTCAGAGGGGCACAGGAGACCTGTGTCTGACTCTCAAGGGCTGGCGCAGTTTTGGCAGCAGAGCAGAGGAACACTGAATCTGCACTGGGATTGGCCTGTCCTCCCAAGTTAGTTTGGGCAAGAAGTACATGACAGTGTCCTGTGGACCAGCTGTGAGCCATACAGAGCTGCCACTAGTCTAACGTAGCAGTGCCATCAGAAAAAACTTCCCTTCTACCTACTGGAAAATAGTCACACTATTAATAGTCATACTATTAATAATTTAGTTTGAACAAAACACTGCCACCTGCTGGAAAACGTCAAAATAAATATAGAAATGTACAAAGATTTGGCTAGCATCCCCTAAGGCATGGAGTGCATGACCTTGTACAACAGTAAGGGAAAGACTGCAAATGGGCCAGTGTGAGAGCATGTCTTAGATCCTCTGCCAGGGCCCCTGCAGAGATGAACAGGCTTCAACACTCGAGCAGCTGGAGGTGGGCCACCAGATTCCTGGGGACTGAAACAGCAAGTCAAGAACTGCTAGAATAGAGTGCTTTTCCTTAGAACAAGGGAATTATGGGTGAGAAACCACCAGAGAAGGGGGGCGGTGGTCGTCTCTGAGGTGACCATCTATGAGGAAAAAAAGTTAGTTTTAAACATCTACCAATCCTAGGGATTCTTTTTTTTTTTTTGAGACAGAGTCTTGCTTTGTTGCCCAGGCTAGAGTGAGTGCCATGGCGTCATCCTAGCTCACAGCAACCTCAAACTCCTGGGCTCGAGCAATCCTCCTGCCTCAGCCTCCTGAGTAGCTGGGACTACAGGCATGTGCCACCATGCCCGGCTAATTTTTTCTATATATATTAGTTGGCCAATTAATTTGTTTCTATTTATAGTAGAGAGGGGTCTCACTCTTGCTCAGGGTGGTTTCGAACTCCTGACCTTGAGCAATCCCCCCAGCTCGGCCTCCCAGAGTGCTAGGATTACAGGCGTGAGCCACTGCGCCCGGCCAATCCTAGGGATTCTTAAACCATTACATGGAAGTAAAGTTGAGAACTTTCCTGCTCCCTTTCCTCTCCGCCTTCTCTTTGACTCTGGTTAGTAAACTGGGGGAAGAGAAAGACTCGGCAGAGTTAGAGGTGACTATGTTGCCCCTCTTTAGGGCAAGCAGTGATACAGCTGCTCCCAGGTGGAGAAGAGGGTGCTCTTTGTGACTCTATGGCCATAGGACTCTCTATTCCTAAGGGGCCCACAGAACCCCTTGGAGCTCATGGGATCTGCCTCAGTTTTTGATTAGGTGCGTGACAGAGCTACTCCCACTGCAAAGGTTGAAAGGGATAAAGATAGGCGAAAGATAAAGTCTTTTTTTTTTAAATTATACCCATGTGCCCTCCATGTTGAACATACTGGCTTCATATTATCATGTAGGATCTAGAAAAATATATCTTCCAAGGACATGTTCTTGAGTTTCTCTGGGGGAAAATGGTCACTGAGTCAACTCTTTTGGTTTTTGAGTGCCCATACTTTGGGAGTAGGGCACAAACATGCAAGGGAGTCCCTGCCCTCTGGGAGCTTACATCTTGGGTTTCATACTTGGAGCAAAGTTCCTCCGACAGTCAGTTATGTCAACAAGAGCCTGTATTTCATAGGTGGGGCAGGTCCAGGAGTTTTTACTCTCTTAGAATTTACTCTTACAATTTTTACTTACTTATGATTAAGCTCTTGAAATAATCATATTGCCCCTGTTCTCCAAGCTTGGAATCACAGGTAAAGTTTCCATTTAAGATGTTTAAAGAGAGATGCAAAGCTAAATGGACAGGCTGCATCTTGATTGGGCTGCTGTGAAACCAGGGCTTTTCTGGTCCTCAGTTTGGCAGATTTGGAAACTTCTGTTTCACTTCACTCAAGTTTAATCAGGCTCTGGGAAATGAATTCAGATAAAATAAAATAATTTCATAATTCAACCCAGTGAACAGAAGCTGATTTATAAACTATGCTGTGAAGTTTTTTGGTTTTTTTTTGAGACAGAGTCTCACTTTGTTGTCCAGGCTAGAGTGAGTGCCGTGGCGTCAGCCTGGCTCACAGCAACCTCAAACTCCTGGGTTCAAGTGATCCTGCTGCCTCAGCCTCCCAAGTAGCTAGGACTACAGGCATGTGCCACTATGCCCGGCTAATTTTTTTTCTATATATATTAATTGGCCAATTAATTTTCTTTCTATTTATAGTAGAGACGGGGTCTCACTCTTGCTCAGGCTGGTCTTGAACTCCTGACCATGAGCAATCCACCTGCCTCGGCCTCCCAGAGTGCTAGGATTACAGGCGTGAGCCACCGGGCCCGGCCTGCTGTGAAGTTTTTAATTGACAAAGATTGTACAGCTAATCTAACTAGTTCTAGTCATGTGCCTTGAACAATTGCTTCTTAATGGGTGTGTAGATTTATTTGAGACCCCTTGAGTGATAGAAAGGCTATTTGTTGAGTTTGGAATTAGAGCATGGGCTTTTGTATGCTCTTAAAGGATATACAGAAGTTTGCTAGGATATAAACTCCACGAAGGCAGAAACCTTATTTGCTGATTTATCCTAAGAGACTAGAACATAGTAAGCATCCAGTAAGTATCTTTTGAATGAATGACTGAATCTGAAGCAAGATTTTTAACTGCCCTGATGATGAGTATTGGTCCTGGTCTTTAGAATCAGTCACCTCTCTCCAGCAGAGAGTGGGAGCTGAGCCCCACAAGACATTCTTATTCAGATTCTGCCGGTTTTAGACCCTTTGTGGACCCCGCCCTTCTGTTATGACAGCATCAACTGGGCATGTGACACTTAGGTTGCAGATGATTTATTTTAGCCTGATGAAATTTGGGAGCCCCTTGGCCTTTGTAACACATTTACAGATCATCTCATAGGGTGACTTTTTATTTATTTATTTTTTTAACTTTGTCCCAAGTTCTATGCGGGTCCTTGTTTTACATTTTGAGGGTTATTGACTTCCAGCTCAGGCAGGTAGGGGACAGATGAATTGCGGTGGTTCATATTTTTACAGACAACCAGAGTTCTTTGCGGAGGTGTTCATCTACCCGCAGTGAAGGAATCCAAAGGCAGAACACTGCATTTTACTCAATGGAAGATCTCAAAGCCCTTAACAGACTAAAGCAGAGAAGAGATTGGCTGAATATTCATACCTTTGTGAGCGCAAGGGAGCTGCAGGGTTGGTCTGGGTGGCTATGCAGGCGCGTACGGACTCCTAGGTTCAAAGAGCTCCTCATTCTGACTGCCTCCTCTCAGCTCCGCCTCCGCAGCTCCAGTTTATTTTAGTCTAAGAGGCTCCTTGTGAGCATGCAGCCTATCGACTTTCACATTCCCAGAGCCCGTGGGCACCGAAGCATCAGTGTTCTCTCTGGAGTCTGGGTCGGGTCTTTAGGTGAAGGGGGAAGCGCGGGGACGGGCAGGGCTCAGGTGCAGCCCAGAGGTCCCAGGGCTAACCCACATCTTTGGGAATGGCAACGTGAGTCGCCGCCTCGGCCTGCCCCAGCAGTTTTCTGTTGCGGTCAACTGGATATGGGCACCCCAGGTATCCCTGCAGGAGTGGCAGAGACCAGAAGCGACCTGAATTTTCCGGATTTTCCCTTCATCCCTCCTACGTCTCGTCCCCAGTTTCTTTCACTTTCCCAACCTCCCCAAACCGAGGACCCCAGACACCTCCCTCAGGCCCGCGCCTGGCTTTCGCACCCAGCTAGGAGCCCGAATTTGAGGCGGGAGGAGGCACAACAGCTCTCCAGCCTGCAGATTCCAGGGCTGCGGCCGCAGGACGCGGGGACCCTCGCCGCCCCTCCCCCCGCGGCGGCTCGCCCCGCCCCCTCCCACGCACGTCACGTCCGGCCCGGCCCCCGCCCGCCGCCCGCCCTGCGCCCTCCGCCCTCCACTCGCCTCCCGCTCGCCGTTAGGGAGGTTCTGCGCCTCAGCTGCCGCCTCTGTCGCCGCTCCCGCCCCCTCTTCCGCGTCTCCGCCGCCGCCTGGCGGATCCGAGGGTCGCTTACCGGGCTGGCCCCGCGCCACATCTGTCGCTTCAGCCTCCCGCCAGCGGCCGCCTCAGGAAGAGCCTCCCCGGCCGCGGAGCCACTTGGGGCCTCAGCTTTCGCCCTCTTGCCGTCGCCGAGGGTTCTGGAGAAGCGGCCGCGGCCGGGGAACGGGGCTTCGCGGTTCCAACGGTAGGTGAACGGGCGGGTACCCCGGTCTGCGCATGCGCGGGCCGCCGGTGACCGCGGCCCTCCCCCAGCTGCTGCCCCGCAGCGCCGCGTCCCCCGCGCAGCGTTTCGTGTTGCGGGGGTCCCGGGGCAGTGCCCGGTAGACGAGACATTCTGTAGAGAGGACCCCTTTTCTGCTGGAGGAGGAGGAGGATGGAGCCGTGCCCCTGGCTGCCGGGGGGTGTGGCAGTCTTCGGTTTGCAGCCACTGCGGTGCGCGTGAGCGGGTGTGCCCCCCTCACCTCCCCGCTCTCCCGAAGTGGATGACACCACACGGCGCGTTTGTTTGCTAACCTTCCCTGCCCACTGGTCCTGCGCCGCCTTCCCACCCACTTCCTTTAGGTTGGGCAGTGAAGTTGCTGTAGGAAAAAAGGGAGTGTGGCTTATCCTGATCTCAGCTGCGCCCCTTTTTAAGGTCACGTGAGATGAGTGGTTGCTGACTTCCTTAAATCGCTCTGCGAATATACCCAAAATTGGGCTGTTGGTGCACTGGAGCCTTGCACTCTACACAGGCCAGGCGAGAGGGGGCACTTTATACGGCATTAAGTTTCAGATGGGGCGCCTCATTTCCTAGATAAGGTTGTAGGAAATGGTATCTGTTGCCACACTTGCCCAGGGGGAAATTGTTAAGCTCTTTTTTTGTTCGTAATCAGTCAAAACCAGACAGACTTGTAGAAGGACGGTGCATTATTTCATTCGGGTCTCCATTATGCCGTCTAATCAGTGAGAAAAGTTAGGCATTTACCTTACTTTCAAGGAGCTGATGATCTAAAGATGGCAGCCGGAACAACAGTAATGCAGACTATAAACGTGAAATAAGTGAGGCGGACTTGCTTATAGAGGCAGACATTAAAGGATAGTTTTGAATTACTGGTCTTTCTGTGGCTGGGTTACTGTGAGGCTTTTTCAGCTCTCTTTTTGGTAACCTTGAAATACTTGTTGGCCTGGGTTTCTCACAGGTACTGTGTGCACTTACTCAGTACTTGTTGAATGGAATCGAATGAACTGGTCATTATTTGTGTATCTTTCGGGAGCCCTGTCTTTATTAATATGTGCTTCGTTTAAAATTGGGGTAGTATTTTCTGCAGTTTAATTTCATCACAAATTAGGCATCTGTGTGATACAGCTTAAGTCCTTGGAAGATGTGGAAGGGCATTTCACAGTGGCATAAAATTCTTGATTGGGTGAAGTAAATGTTGCAGTATGTTTTTTACTAGAATGTCATTTTAAGATAGAAAACAGCTGAAATGAATATGTTGACTTGTCAGTGTTTCTCCGCCAATAAAATAACTACTTTTATTATTTATGAATAACTCCAACCCATTTGTGCATCGTGTACACTAATTTTAAAATTTGGGACTATAGTAGTATAAACTACTTAAAAATTTTAAAAAATAATTGTAAAATATATAAAATAAAATCTATTTTAAACACTAACATTTTAAATATATATTTTTTCTAAAATATATGTAACATAGAATTTACCATTTTAAACATTTTTAAGTATACAGTTCAGTGACATTAATTACATTCACAATGTTGGGCAGCCATCACCACTCTCCACTTCCAGAACTTTTTTATCATCTCAAGCAAACTCTATACATTAGACAAGAACTCTCTATTCCATTACCCAGTGGTAACCTCTATTCTGCTTTTTGTCTTTATGAATTTGGCTAGTCTAGGTACCTTATGTAGGTGGAATCATATAGCATTTATCCTTTTGTGTCTGGCTTACTTTGCTTAGCATAATGTTTTCAAAGTTCAAAGTTTTAATGTGTATCAGAATTTCCTTGTGTGTATATGTTACATTTTGTTAATCTATTCATCTATTTTTTTTTTTTTTTTTTTTCAGAGTCTCACTTTGTTGCCCAGACTGTGCAAAGAACTGTGGAGGAGGTTCCAAAGAAAGACAAAATGTGGCCTGTGCCCTTTGGGAGTTTACTATCTAATTGGGAAGATGAGACATAACTCACTGTAATACCAGCCAATTATGATAAGCCATATATGAGTAGTATGATGCATACATATATATGATATATAC